ACCTTACCAGGCGTGTTGTCCTCATCGCCGAGACCCTCGATCATGGTGACGTGGAGAGTCAGGTTGTAGGCAAGGACAAGCTTGAGCGCCTTGCGGATGACGGGAAGCTTCTCGCGAGTGTAGAAGCGGTAGGCCGTCTTCAACAACTCGGTGACGAAGTAGGTACCCTCAAAGTACTCATCAACAAACTGCTCGAAACCACCGTCGATGTGGCGGTCAAGGTAGTCGGAGAGCATAGCGCGGGAGATGCCCTCCATACCGGCGGACAGCTTGGCGGTGTTGATCTCGAAGTGGAGACCGTTGAGGGTCTCGTGCCAGTCAACGCCGAAGCACTTCTCATCACGGACGTAGACGTCGCGGGCCATGATGGGGAGGTAGTGGCCGTAGCCGTGGGTAACGTAGATCAGACGCTCCGATGTCGAGAAGCCCTTGATGTTGCCGATAGAGAAACCGAGGCTGACATGGCGCTCGTAGTCGGCCTTCCAGTCCTTCATGAAGTAGGCAATATCCTTGATGTCGATACGCGTGCACGGGACCTGCCAGAGACGCGCGTGGGATGGCTGGCAACCAGCGCACGGGTCGCCCTTGTCACAAGTCTTCTTGAGGAACTTACACCTCAGGCATGCACGAAGCTTGCGGATCTCGTGAGCCTGCTGTCGCTGGTCAGGCCTGAGAGGTCCCCTTCTCCTGCCGACGCGCTTCTCGCCCGTAGCATCCTTCTTGGTGGTATGGGCGGGTGTCTTCTTGACGATGGTCTTGGCAGGCTTCGATCCTGTCGCGGTCGCGGTCGCGGGTGATTTCCTGCGACGAGCCGGCGGTGAGCTGACGGCTGACGAGGTTGGCGACGCGGTATTTGACGAGGATTGTTTTATGACAATGGGCTCGACGCGTGCCATGGGCGGGCTGACGGACTGGGTAGGCGAGATGTAGCTGGCGAAGTCATGATCGCTCATCGGGAGCCCGTGGGTGTGATTACAGCTGTCAGAGTGGGAGTGGGAGTGGGAGTGGCTATGCGAGTGCACAAGCTCCAAGTTGTTCTCTGATTGAGGAGAGTGCATGGAGAACTGTATCTCCTCGAAACTGCTGAAGGAATGGGCTGACGGTGGCACGTCGGAGTGGTTCGAGTTTGACGAATTCGAGCCGGTGCGGATGTGGAGTGACTGGGCTGGGTTGAAGATGATGGCAGAGCTATCCGAGTAGTCGTACGAGTTGCGGTGACCGTGGCCGAGGCCGACGTCGACCCAGCCGTTGTCGCTGCTGGAGAGCGAACGGATCTCCATCCAGTTCTCACCAGGTGAGCCAGTGCCAACGCTGGGATTTGAGTGAGCGGTGTATTCGGCGGGCGCGCTGCCGAGGTGAGTGAACTCTTGCTGGAAGTCGTTCATTGTTTGCATTGTAAAGGGCGCAGTAGTCAGGGTGGGTAGCCCGTCCATGCTGGTTGTGGTCATGAAGTTCATGGGCGCCATGGACATTGAGTTCATCATGTGCGGGTTGATGCCGAACTCGACAGGCGACGTCTGCAGAGGCCCTCCGTATGTGCTGAATTCCGTGCCCATTCCCATTGAGCCCTGCCCGTAGCTATCCTGCCCAAAGCCATCCGTGTTGATGTTCATCCAAGTGGCCAACATGGGGTTCATCGGTTGCATGGCCGCGGGAAAGCCGAGACCCATGTGGAGAGGTGCCATGCTCGTCGTGCTCGGGTGCGAGTTGTGCGCGGTAGACGCGGCTGCGTTGTTGATACGGCGCTGCTGATGCGGGTGCTGGTGCTGGTGGTGCGAGTGCTGCTGTTGCTGCTGCTGGCTACCATCGTGCTGCTGTTGTTGCTGTGTCATCGTGCCGGGTGAGATTGGCAGCGGCCACGTTTGGGAGAAGTTGTAGGTTTGTCGGTTCGGGTCGAAGGAAGGATCAAAGGCACCGTCCACGCCGTAAATGGCCCCGTCAAAGTCGATGTGTTGGTTCTCCATGTTTGCACGGAGAGTGAAAATGGGGTTCGAGTGTTCTCAGCCTCTTCGAGCTGATAGTAAGCGGTGAAGGTAAGCGGGCGGGCGATGGGCCGACCAGAGTGTAGGAGGATGATGCCAAGACGCGTACACCGCTTTTTGTATGCAAGTCCCAGCCCCACACACCAATGGCTCGTCTAGTCCTACACTTGGTTAGGATAGCGCCAGAAGCGCTGCAGCGGACCGCGCGATTCGCAATCGAGGTCAAAGAAAACCCTGACCAGCGCCGACGTGCACGAGGGTTCCTAGACGGGCGCGTTGGGTGGTGTGCGGGTAGCGAGAGGGTGCTCAACTATCGTGGAGAGGCGCCTCTAGTGAGCAGATCGTTGAGCGACGACAGAACCGAATTGTGTTCGCCCGCCGAGACGCTCCACAGGTGTCCTTAGCCAGCTCCGCCTCTCGGTCTGGCTGTCGTCTGGCTAACTGAACCCACGCAAGCTGACGCCTCACCCTGCAGCAGCCAGTGAGACGGCGATGCAGGCCAGTGTGTCGCAATATCGCTCTTCTCTCGGATCAGCTGTCGCCTATCGAGCACAATGACCCCTCCTGCGATAGTGCCGATAAGCGTTAGACTCGGGGTCCGGTAGGTAGCATCAGGGTGTGGAGGGGAGCGTTGGGGATGCCGCAACAAGCAAAGACAGCCTATACTCGACGCTGTGGGCTATATCCACCCCTCATGCCCGTGCTGGATCGTCCACCTTCACCTCTCGAACGAGCTGTTCAACATGCAGCCAGGCGAACCGGCCTGCGCTACTGGCGCCCGTCGGTGGATCTAAGAATATAGACTGCGACAAATGGTGGACAAAGTCGCGGATACTACCATGGACCAGGGCTGTCCGTATTTGCCTCACTGGCATGGCCCGGCCTGCGACTCTACAACGGCACTTCGCCGTCGACGTCCAGACTCACCGACACGTCCGAGGATGCCTCGCAACTTGTCCCGCCGTCATCATACATCCCAGAGTCCTCGGCCATCCGCAGCATGAGCGCCACACCTGCCTCCACGCGCGGTGCCCACTCGCCGGCGGTTCCTCGCGTTGGCAAGCGCTCATCGTTACCCTGGCATGCCGAGCGCCTTCTGCGTAACATCGCTTCCGATCGTACTACTGAGCGCCGTGTCTTGCATCCGGATTCTCGTCCATGGCAGCCGTTTCAAGTATTGTGCATCCTGTCATGCCTTGCCCGCATATCGCCGTTTGAGCAGCGACAGCTTGACAGGATAGTGCCCCTGGTCTTACTGGTGGGCGTATTGCATTGGTATCACTCTTGCTGTGGCATGCCGAGATTCGTCATAGTGCTCGTGACCATCTCTGCCATCTGTTTCGTTTTACTTTCGTTTGAAGTATACTGTAGTTGAATGCTTCCCAAGTCTTAGAGATGCTTCCACGTTTTCGGCAAGATCTGCGTGGTTCTGCAGTGTCGCACCCACAATTTAACAGGTCAGTAGCCACGCAAGCCACCCTCATCCGAAGTCATGGGGAGTGGATAGCGTTGTGCTACTGTACGGCCTTGCTGACGTTTCTTTGTCCAACATTCTCAGGGCGTACCATAGGCGAGGCGGCCGCATGTTGGGTCTCCGTATGACGCGAGCAACGTTGTCTTCCTATTGACTGGGTTTGACTTGCGACTTGTGCAGAGTACGAAAGGGAAAGGCGACAGGTTGGGGAACATCCCCGCACTCGATAGGAGAGTGACCGGTTGATCTCTTTAGCTTTGACAGTTGGGGAGATTGGATGAGGCATTTGGGTACTTTGTGGGATGCATTCTTCCCCGTCTCGTGAGTATGGAGTAGCACTAGAAGTGGTGACGGGTGTAAGACCACGCAAGTAGCGCCATGCAGTAGAAACAGGTAGAATGAGAGCAGGGGTTGAGGGAATGAATGGTGAGCACAAGAAGAAGTGGCGATGTAATAACAGAAAAGCAGCGATTGCGACAAAGTTTTGCTCCGTTTGTGATGTGAAGGAAGTCGCGGTGTGCTGGAGCGCTCTTTCCGTACACGCGGCAGCCAGAGTTTGGTCCACCCGATAGAAGAACGTCACGGTCTGTCGGCCATTACAACACCATTCAAGCTTTCACTCCACAAAACTTTGCTGACCAGGTCATGCAAAGTTCTCACCCTGTTTAAGGGGCAGTAATTGCACATCTGAACTATAGTCCAGAGAGTCCTGTGATGTCAGCTCAGCATGAGCCCAGGGCCAAACGACTGGCCTACATCGACACAGCGCGAACGGTCTTATCCAGGCCTAGTTCATTTGTTGCAGATACGTTTGTGCTGCCTGTCACTGAACCATGTCCCACTGGTATCACTGACGGCGCTGTGTAGCGACTTTTGCTTGGGTTGCATTGTTATCTTGGCCAAGACGGATATCTACATACAGCCAGATACATACCAAGAGCTTGCGATCAAGGTATGATTCTGAGCGCGGATTAGTTAACTGAAGTTCAGGCGTGCACTGCGAGGTGGTGGATGCGACATATTCCCCGTTTGAGGAAGTCAAAACCATAGCGGAAGGAAGTCTGAGGATACGTATAATATCGATATGATTCATTCCGTCCTTCTCGGCTGTCCTTGTTCACCATTTGGCCAGCTTACTGGCTTTGCAGATGCCGAAGTCTGTTGCGTATAAACGATGTGGCGGCAATATAGCACACCTTATACATACCGAACCCTGAACTGCAGCGAGACGAAACTCTACATCTCAGGCTATTGTTGATGCAATGACGCCTACTCAAGAGCCGTAGATGGCGGAGTACGGGAAGTTGGATATGTGGATCCGCAGCCGGCCTTCGGCTCCACGCGCATCTCCCGTACCTCGTGTAACCCACAGAGAGAGTGAAGCAGTATATCTGAGACTCTCGTGGGGCATGTCAATTGTCACTTCCATTCTGGCGAGATAGAAGGCGCGACTTAGTCAAGTGTTGTGATTGCCAGATTCACCTTCAACACCATTCTATCATCACGAACGAGCAAACTTCACAGCTCTCCAAAAGACCTCTACTATGGCACACATCGGCGCGCTGCCCAAGATCCACCGCTACATCACGGCCCATGATGATAAAGGCAAAGCCGTCTTCAGCAAAGCCTTCAACGAGGAGAGCAAGATGAAAGCCAACGACGACGGCATCGCCTTCGCCCTCAGCTTCACCACCAAAGGATTCCCCGTCGATATGAATGACGACCAAGATCTCGATGTATACGGCAATTATCTCAAGGACGCCCCAGGCCTCGTCGTCTCTGGTGGCACAGTCCTCCGTCACGTCGACATCCCCCCGGACACAGCGTGCACGATGCACCGGACTGTGAGCTTGGACTACGGCTGCGTACTCGAGGGCGAGGTCGAATGTCTACTAGACAGCGGCGAGAAGCGATTGATGAAGCGGGGTGACGTTGCGATTCAGCGTGGAACGATGCATCAGTGGATCAACCACAGCAAGACCGACTGGACGCGCATGTTGTTTGTTCTGCAGGAGTCGAAGCCACTGAAGCTTGCGGGCGAGGCGGTCGGCGAGGAACTTGCTGGGATGGCTGGAGTGCGTTCTTCGGATTGAATTGTGTGTCGACGGAGAACAAGATGGGATGGTTCCCTATCGATAGCAGATGTCGCCAAGCCAGCTAGCACTCAATCTGATCACTCCCCACGTGCTCCACTCTTTCTTTCCTGTACCTGAGTAGCATTTGCAACAGACAAAGAGCAGTCATTAACTCACGTAATGTTGGCCACACTATGCAAGCGCATACCGTGATACCCATACCATATCTGGACGCTGCACCTGCACTCGAACAATACTAAGCAACCCTTGCTAAAAGTCATCATACGCGCCAGCCACTCACGGATGCCCAATCTTGTACCGCTCAATATCGAGACGCCACGACGTGCAGGTAAAAAAGATGGCTCTGCCACTACGTTCCTCAGCTCCTGCCTCCCGCTTAGAGGAGATTATTCCCGGATCAAAACGGATTGAAGAGCTTTCAGACGAAGAGCTGGACAGCGACTACGAGGATATGGGAACCGCTACTATGGAAGAGCAAGCGAACATTGCTTACCTGGAGAGTGTAAGGATACCAATCAGGGACTCACTCGTGACGGACACATCGGAAGCGGATGAAGAAACGTCCAAGGTCATATTACCTTTCTTAGAAGGCAACCCCAACAATTTCCCACTCAACGCTTCTGGCATACCGAGCTTGCAGCGACGAAAGCACGCCTACTTCTTAGAAGGACAACTTGATGATTGGCCGGCACGCGCTGCCGCACTGGATGCTGCGCGACCATGGATCATCTACTGGTCTCTGCAAGGCCTGACTGCACTGGGGTCTGACATATCCGACTACAATAGAACGTAGGTCTTTCCAATTCGAAAATCCCTTTGCAAAAGGATTACAATACATGACTTCAGCCGTACATGTTCTGATAGCACATAGAACACCACACACCGCCTCCCTGGCCCAACATCCGGACGGAGGATTTGGAGGTGGCTATGGACAATACGCTCATCTTGCCTGTACATACGCTTCGGTACTGTCGCTCGCCACAGTCGGCGGAAAGGAATCATATGAGACAATCAATCGCAAAACACTATGGCACTTCTTGGGCCGAATGAAGCAAGCGGACGGAGGCTTCACCATGTGCGCAGGCGGCGAAGAAGATATCCGCGGTGCCTATTGCGCCCTAGTTGTACTATCCCTCCTCAACCTCCCTCTCGAGCTACCACCCGATGCACCAGTACGAAAACAAGGTTTCACCACCTTCACAGACGGTCTAGGAACGTGGATCTCCAAATGCCAATCCTGGGACGGCGGCATCTCTGCAGCCCCAGGCAACGAAGCTCACGGAGCCTACGCATTCTGTGGACTAGGCAGTCTCGCCATCCTCGGACCACCAAAAGATACCCTTCACAAGTACCTGAACGTCAACATGCTGATCTACTGGCTATCGTCGCGCCAATGCACACCAGAAGGTGGATACAATGGCCGCACAAACAAGCTCGTTGACGGCTGCTATTCCCACTGGATCGGCGGCTGTTGGTCTATTGCCGAAGCTGCGACCACGACAGGACTATGGAACCGCGGCGCACTTGGTCGTTATATCCTAGCCGCGTGTCAAGAGAATAAGGGTGGGCTGCGAGATAAGCCTGGCAAAGGCGCAGATGCATACCACACTTGCTACAATCTGGCTGGGCTGAGTGCGGTACAGCACAAATATGCCTACGATGAGAATGTAAACAAGACTCTTGGTACGGGTACGTTTGGCGCACCTTTCCATTGGAAGATGGAGGGTCGCTATGATGGCGAGGACAAGGTCTGGGATGAGGGTGATGCTGTGAGGGCGGTGCATCCCGTGTTCGTTGTTCCCTTCATGTCGGTGTATGAGACAAGGAAGTACTTTGAGGAGAAGGAGGGCTTTTGAGCATGTCAATCCAAATACCTATGATAACTCTCAAACGCTATAGAGCCGGAACCCAGACCTCTATCAAAGCAGTCATGACCATGACCGCCACAGTAACCCTGTATCATTCAAACGCCTGTCCTCACCCATTCAAGGTGAAGTCTAATGCCCATTCATCTTCATCCCGCCCAGCTCCTCCAAGATCTTCAACTGTCCCGCACCAATATCATAGATAAGCCCATGAAGCGACAATCCACGCTCCACAACCGCTCTCTTGATAGCCGGATGCTGTTTCAGCACCTCAATCGACTGCTGAACATTAAGCTCAGCAAGGCGCGCCGCCCTCGCGTCGTCGTTGGGAAGGCCTTCCAACTCGACTTTGTGCTTACGGCGGAGTCTGTCGGTGTTGTTAGTACGGTCAATAGCTCTTGGATCCCGGCATCCTGATCCTGCGAACACGCGTTCGCCCCACTAGATCCCTCCCCACATGCTCTAAGAGAGCGAGTTAATTGACAGAAAGTGGACTCACTCTCGAACAGGTCCCAACCACTTATTCAAAACACCCCCTAAATCGTCGTCTCCCAAAGCCGCATTCGCCCCTCCACATTTGGTGTGCCCGCAGACAACTACTTTGTTGACTTTCAAATGCACGACCGCATATTCTACTACACTAGCCGCGGATAGATCATCTGGATGCACCGTATTCGCTATATTGCGGTGCACGAAGATCTCGCCAGGCTTGCAGTGGCATACAGTCGTTTCCGGGATGCGACTGTCTGCGCATCCAATCCACAGAATATCGGGAGCTTGACCTTGGGCGAGCAGTGTGAAGGCGTTGGGGTCGAGGGCTGTGGTATCGGTGCGGTAGGTTGCGTTACCGGTGAGGAGGTGCGTGAGGGGTTCTGCGTTGGAATGGTTAGTACCTAGGTAAAGTGGTGTGAGGTGTGCAGGATTGGATCCTTGTGCGGAGCATCTGGGGTGATGCGACCGGGGTGTGGATCAGTCAGGGGATGTATAAAGTCTGTGGTAGCCCCCAGGATCGCGACATGTTTCAATATTTTCTACACATTCGTCTTTTGCGCCGCATAGTCCAGGCCTTGCAGCCTAATCGAAGGAAGGGTACGTACCGATGTAAGTCGCCATCTTTGAGTCGGATAAGCGGCTGGTAAGTCTATACCTATATCTCTGTATGCCCAGCACCAAGTGTATGACAAGCCTTGGCCGGACAACCCACGGCAAGGTTATATACCAAGTATGCAAGAGAAGGGACTTGAATAAGGGATGTGAACCAAGGTAGGCTTCAATGACCGCAGCCGTCGCATACCCTCTTCCCCGGCTGACTGAAGTCGCACACGAGCGCCGCGTGCGCAAACGCTCTCACAATATGCGCCACTGTTTCTCTACACCCCTCTCTTTCGTTATCTAGCTGGCCTATCATTGCGGTCATTGTAACCATCGAAGCCATGCAAACGCGGTGTAATGGGCGCGGAGAAGGTGTGGAGATGGAAGGCGGTATCTGGGTAGCGAACCGTACATTGCACCCAGCTTTACCTAGACTCGACCAGAAACCTTCGCGGAACCATGTACACCAACCAATAGAAGCCAACCTGCCTCTAGACAAAGACTGTACCGATCAGAATTTGTGCAACTGCCGCTACACCACCCAACGTGCCGAGAAAACGCCTCTATGTTGTGAAGCACTGAAGCAAATTCAACCGGCTTGATTGTCCTCAGCACCATTGATCCTTCACTTGAATCTTATCCGCATCGCATCTTGGGGCTACTGTCGGTTCCTCGGCGCTTCGCCTAAGCTTGTTGGTTGTTTGTGAGAGCCCCGATTAGTTGGGAGGTGTCTTAGATTTCAGTGTTGAGAACAGGAAAGCATGACTGTGGAATGGGCAGGCAGCGGCAGCTTTAGCGTCAGCGTGTCACAGATAATATGAACTCACTTGCTTTGTGTCACCACCGACCCTAAAGGTATACACTGTTCCGTCTGTGATATGTCGTGGTAAAGCGCGATGTGCCCTCCAGGGCACATTTCCAGGAATCAATAGAGTGGTGCACGTGGAAAGTAGCGCGAATAGGCATGAAGACAAGACAAGAACAATTAATAACGCGCTTCCCATTTACCCTACACCGCCAACAAGACTCCAAACGCGAAACAAATAGAATTCTCATCGTCTCGACGAAAGCCAATACGCCACCTTCCCAAGTCCACGCTTCTCACTCATACCCGTAATAGCGTCAACATGCGCCAAAGTCGACATGGGCAGTTCACAGCAGCCAGCGCTTGCCGAACTAGCACTCTGGCGACTACGTCGCTGCTCGCGCTTCGGCGCCTCAACCTTCTGATACGTCCTCTCCATCGCTCCGTACGGTTTCCCATAGTTGCGAAAGCGCATCTGGAACGCGATAAGAACCACCGGTAGGACACTGATGAGCTCGCCCAGGCCCGCCCACTGCGGTGTAATCCTTACGTTGGCCTGGAGCTTGACGAATGCACCGGCAGCAAGGATGATGGCGAAGAAATTGTAGAATGCAGACCAACTGAAGTTCCAGCAGATGCGTCGGTATGCCGCATGCGAGATGTCAAGTAGGATGAGAACGTCATGTAGTCGGGTCGTTATGAGGACAACATCAGCCGCGGACTTTGCAACGTCGGAACCATCGTTGAGGTGCACGCCTACGTCGGCTTGTTTGAGCGCTGCAGAGTCGTTCGTTCCGTCACCGAGGAACATCACGATGGATTTCCTGCGCGAGTCCTGGAGATCACGGATGTACTGCATCTTTCCTTCGGGTGTACATCGAGCCTTTGTGTTCGCCTCGTCGATGTATAGGGTTGTCGCCACGTCGCTGACAGCCCCATCGTTGTCGCCACTGAGCATGTGTACATGGATTCCTCGAGCGTGGAGTTCTTTAATTACCATTATTGCTTCAGGCCGGGGTTGATCCAGGAGTTCGAAGCTCATGCGAAGATCGCCGCCGTAGGTGAAGTAGCATGCTGTGTTCTTTCCTTGTCCAATGACGTTGATGTGAAGCCATTCTGCGTTACCTGCGCGAATCTCCACCCCAGTTTTCGCACAATCGCCTTGGACACCTTTACCAGGAATACTGGTGATGTTATTGACCTGAAGAGGTTCAAAGTTCTTATGAGCGAGTATG